CTTATATTTTATTCAATAAACGATTCGTTATTTTTATTGACTCGCTTTAAGTTAAAGAAAGGGTTGAGAAAAAAGAGTATGGGCCGTAAGAGGTCGTGGAAGTTAACTCGAGGGGATCGTTAAATTCAATTAGTGCGATTCCCGTGAGAATGGCATCGACGTAAAATGTTATTGCGTGAGTGTACGCTCGCGAGAAGAGGAAGTCGGAGAATGCGTCGAGTGCGCTACTTCCGGTATGTGCTAACTTTCAAAACGAACAAGCCACTTGGATTTCAGCAAGAGGTCTCGCGTTTCGGTCTCACTTAACAAGAGTGCAACGAGATACTTCGATTATGTTTTCCGAGCTCTCCTTCCCCCGTTGCATTCTCTTCACGGTTGACTCGATTATTTCGCGAGGGGACACCGCCGCGCCCCGTACCGTAATTGACTTGGTTAAACAGCAATTACACGTTTACTTTTATTCAGTCGTCCTTAATTGGATTCGTAATAGAACGTGAAAATTATAATGAAATTGGTAATGTTTGTATAATACGAGGAACCACGTAGCAGATAAGTGTAACGTAGTTCGATTTGATCATCGTAAACCAATTCTGAGGATGTGTTAATACGCGACCAATGGAACTACTTTCGCTGCTCCAATTATGCTTATAACTTATAAACTACAATGAACCGCGTAAACCGCTTAACTATCAAACTCGAAACTCTGTCTAAACAGACTATGGTGCTAAACTCTAACCACTAACACTTCCAAAGTACCACGGACGAGCAATTCAGTTTTGTCTCTCATTGTCTGTAGTTGTACCAAGCCACGAAGTCGCGTTCTTAATAATTAATGTGCGTTCCCTCACAAATCCGCCGCTTTATCAATCCTCGCCGTGATACGCGTCCCCTCTTTTAATCCGGGCGATATCGATGAAAGGATTTGGATCTTTCGCATGGAAATGTCCGCATTCCGATATCTGAAGTCCCTCGCGTCGCGATAAGAGTGTCCTCCTCTGTTCGGATATAATGGAGCATCCATTTCCAGTAATTTCGATCTTAATCATCTGCGGGAACAATGCCGTCTCTCCGGTGTAATTGTAATTCGACGAAACAGGGACTAAAACCGATGCCTCCACCCACGAAGCCCATCGACTTCCCTCGTTAAATATTCGCGGATGTCGGAACATTTTCTGACATAGTTCACGACCACAAAAGACGCGACGCGACGACGACGGGTCAAATCCTTTTCTTCGAGAGCCCTATTCGCCGCGTCGCCGAGGGGAAACGGAAGTTAGGTGTCGGCAGAAGTTGGCGAAAAGCGCCGGACGCGTCTCGACAAACGTCCATCGGCCGGCTGCTGCTCAGTTTCGAGTCATTAACAAGTGGCCGAACTTCTTTTCACCTCTCGCAACCGAATCAGGGGTGAAGTTCGAACCAGACGAGGTTAACGAACTCTGCGACAGCCATTTTCTAGTCGAACTTCCGAGACTCTTTTTCCCAGGTATCAAACACGTTCCAATCGATATGATATATTTTCAGAAACTGCATCATTTAATGCATGTAAGAATATCAAGATGCGAATCAGTCTAAAGTCGATGGCGCAAGATTTTAACATGGAACATTACTTAAACACGATTCTGCCACGTCACGGTGCGCCACAGTTCCTGTTATAATTTAAACAGTTGGACATGTTTGATCAGCACTTAAAAATGCTGTTCGTCGTGAAGTTAAATATGAGGCACGGTTCATTACCTCTATTTATTTTCGAATCAGAAATGATATTTTATCCATGACCAAAATTAAATGTTTATACGTTCTCGATCACAATTGAAATTCTAATTTAACCGGCGAAACCTCCGTGATGATAGCTTCGGCAAGTAACTTTTATTCTTTATAAAGCAACGTTTATGAGGAATCGACTTAAAAATTACGAGATTACCAAGCTTCGTGAAATTGCCAGGGTGTGCAAAGAAACTCTTCGCGATATTGCGTCCTAATAACCTCGGGAAACGTCATTAGCTCGAAATAAAGACGTTAGACTTATAAGTAAAATATAAAGAGGCTTACAAACATTAATTTCGATTTTAATTCTTCAGCTTTAAATATCTTCCTTCGGTAAACGTTTCGCGTAGAAGAAATCATGACAGGCGAAGAACTGTAGCCTGTTCTTAATTGAGATTTATCGCAACGCTTTCAATAACACGTGAGAGATATGATGCGATACATATTCATGGACCGGGCGTACGCGTGTCTGGAATCATTTGAAACGAGCGTCATTTGCAAACGGGCATTTCGAAAATAATAAAAATCGTAATGAAAAAACAAAAGGGGAGAGAGAGCACTCTCGAGCAAGTGCCAGGTAACGATCATCGATCACTTGAAAATAACGGGTTGTACAAGCACATTTTGCCATCGTTATCGTTACCATCGGAAAACGAGACACGGCATGACGTACGGACTGATTTGAAACGGGGGAAACGTTCGCCCGCGTTCGACACGTTCCACGCGTTTCGCACAAACCCGGGAAACGAACGGAGAGAAAAGCTCGATGACTCGTACTTGATCACAGCCGGACTGTATTTTTTCGTGCTTCGTGCGCCACGCGTTCTAACGACGCCACCAATTACGATCCTTTTTACACGAGCTTATCGACCGGCCTGTCCACGAATGTCTTACGACTGACGCGTTTCACGAAACGTACAACTGTTCGATTAGAAAAATAACTGGGATCGATAAACTTGGAAATAAAAATATGATTCGTTTAAAGTTAGATAGATCCGAGCATTCTAAAATCGTATTATTATGTGAACGTTAGCAATAGATTCGTTATTGACGATGTGGCGATAAATAGGATTCGTATTGTCTTTAAAAGAATCGTTCAAAGATTCTTGATCGTTCGGATATCGGGAATATTAAATATCGATTTGAATTCTCGTCGCACAATTAATCAAACGACGACTGCGCGCACTCGAACGTGTCCCGATAATTTCGTTCGAACGGAATCCCCGGGGAATGGAAAGCAAAGAAAGGCCGCGCCGGTGGTCCTTGAACAATTTTCACGAACGAATTAATATTTTGCTGGATAACGAATAATTTTAATTGTCTGTCGATTTGTACGCGTTGTCGCGTTAAATGAGAATTATCGATTCATAGGAGTGCTGTTTAAAAGAGTTCTCCAATTTTACAAAGACAAAGCGAGCTGTTCGATACCGTAATACCATATAAACGTAATTTAATCATTTTTTCGTCGCGTGAACTTGCTTGGAAAATTGTTCAGTTGGTATAAATTGGTCTTCCTTTATTACCAAAATATAATAGCTCGCTCGAGGGTTTCAGTAGTTTATAAAAGAATTGAACGTGCAGAAAGTATGTGACAAAGCGAGTGGATATTACGATGTTTGAACGGCAAAAGAAATGTTTTGTCGGAAACACGTTTTTTAAATCAACTGCCATAAGCGTTTCAGTTTGCACAGAAGCCTCCAGTTTAATAATAACATCTTTTCAACGCTGTTATTCGTGCGTAGAGTATGTAAAACTTGTTCGCCGACGGAATGACCAATTTACCTGTTTCAATTGCAAAAATTATTCCCGTGAAAAAGAGAAGTTCTTTCAAACACATTTGCATTACCGATGAGCCATCGATTATTGGCCACGTCACTTCTTTCGTGCGGACCATTTCATTAATATTCGAGTACTTACTCCGCAGTACATAGTCCGGAGAATAATAATGTCTCCGGCAAAGAGAATTTCTGTAATCCAGCATCCTTGTGGTGAACAACTGTAAAATAGGAACCTTCAATGATACTAATTAGTGAACTGCGGATTTTATGCATTTTCAACGAAATTAAATGTGCATAAAATATAAAAACTGCCTGGTGCACAGAAATAGAATAGAATATCAAATGTTGAGTACATATTGCAATACTTAAACAATGAGAGACGTTCATGTATAAAATTTTTTTAAATTTTTATCGTAATTGTTTCATTTTATATAAAACTCTACAGCCTAATTAATCACAATTGGTATTGCAGAAGTTTCTGATAATGTAACAACGTTTTATTCGTTAGTTATACACATCGCCGGAAGCAGTTTTTTTTATCAGAATTTTCTATAAATGGAATATGTATTGCACGGATTTCTCCATATTCGATATCGTAAGCCGTAAGCTATACAGCTGTCGCAACCGTTGGAACTCGCAGAGAAATGGTAAAAGCGAGCACGGCCGGAAGAGATGTTTCCTCGCTCGTTCATTTCGCAGATAGAACTTGTCTTTCAATATTGTCTTAGAAATCAGATCGGACGCTAGGAGGCAATAATACAATATTCAAGGAATCGTGCCAACTCCTTTTCGTGCATACGACTTTTTATTTAACGAACTTGGCAGCATACGAGTTTCCACGATGACCGTAGTTTTCAACAAACATAAGCTGTTCCAAAATAAAATAACTGCGCTTCTCAAAACTCTTATAACATGAAGCAATTTTTATTATCGTCAAGTTCCTGTTTACAAATTACTAGCAATTCCCAGCCCACATTAATTGTGTATGAGATACAAAATTTATAGAATAGAAGTTTTATTTGAAGACGTGTTTCATAAGTAAAAGCCAATTTTCTGACTCGTGGAACTTGAAAGATATTGAAGATGTTGCGAATATGCACTTTTTCCCTCTTCACTCTCTTATGACCGAGGCAAAATCCCTTCTTAGTGCGCCCCTATGTCATAAAAGGTATACCTTCCAAGTTTCAAGCTCGTTTCGGGTGGGCATTGATATGTCAGTCAGGGCAGCTCTTTTTATTGAACAATGATTAATACAATTAATATAACTCGTTCCCGTTTCACGACTTATTTATCGGTATAAGAACAGAATTAGTTTCACGTCAATGAACACATACACGTTTCTCGTCATAACTATCCATCAATCTATCCGGCCATAAATTTACGCAGGATAAATACTATATCGTGTCGCGCGAACGTGGAACCGGAAATCCTCTTAACGGTGTTTATTGGTTTTGGCAGAGTGTGCGGCGAAGAACGGTGGATCGGTGGTGGAGCACCATCCGTCTTCTTACTGGGAGCAAACCTTTAGCCAGCCTTACTTCGACAACACGACGAAGAGGGAGACCACGACAACCGTCGGGCAAACCGCTTTCCTGCACTGCAGGGTGCGCAATCTGGGTGATCGTGCCGTAAGTTTCCAGTTTTTCTTTTTTCACCGACCCCGGCCACGTTTATATATATATATATATATATATACACCTGTAATAAGAAAAGCGCGAAAAGGTGGAAGTCGTGTTACACGGATGAGTAACCGGTTGATGAAACGGTCCAGTTGTCCCCACCTACTAAACTACGTTTTTCACTCCGACTTCTCCTATCGATCAAGGATTTCCTACCAATTGCTATCGCGATTACTGGCTCTGATTTTAACTTTGCTATCAGCCTTTCCTCTTGCCTTTCCTGCGAAACCATAAAGTGAAAGCAGAAAAAGTAAACCGAATCTCGGCAATTTATAGAAATGATCCGGCTAGCTCTTTAACGATTTGCAATTCAATGACAGCGAACCTATATCTATTCCGGAGCTAATTAGATTCGGGTGCGTTGGAAAGCTGGGAACTGCTCGAAGCAAAGCGTCGCGACGGTTTTGACCGCATTTTCACGGATAAGTGCCGCGAGTCAGTGGAACAGAGACGTTACTCGTTATCGACGTTACTCGTACATCACCGCATGACGCACAGGAAACCGTCAGAATCCAATCACCGATCGTAATCGACGATAAATCAGATTTCCCTTCGCTCTGTTCCCACTTCCGCCAAGCGACGCGACGCGTTGGCTCTCTACTCTCTATCTGCGCGAAACCAGCCGTTTACATTCGCGGCTGGAAAATCAACCTGGATACGCTTCGCCGACATTGTTGTTTGTACGCCGCGACGCGACGCCCCGTGACAGCTTCGCGCTATTCGTTATTCCCAACAACACCCAAAGGAACATCGAGCGAGAAGAAAATATTCGGCAATCGGACCTAAAGAGACAACTATCCATAGATCTCGTAAAGTGATTGAAAAATTCATTGGAAACAGTAAACCGGAAATTTATAATAAAATATAGAAACGTTCAGATTTTAATACTTTAATTTAATAACTTTTACTCACATTGCTGAAATATGAAATCTTCAATTTTATATATTGTAATTTAAATCGCGTCAGTTAATTTCATTCAATATCCCAGACATTTACTCTGATTGAAATCATTACTGTACTACTAAAAATATAAAACAAACGCAGCTATTCAAGGATCAACAATATATGAATATTCATAAAATGTCAATGTTGGAGAAATGAATCATCGCGCGGGATTATAAAGCGAACTATATAATTAATATTCGTTTACGTGAATGGGCAAACGGATAAAAACAAGGGAAGCTTCAATATCACGGAAAACAGGCGGAACACGTTTTTTCACTTATTCATTAACGAGAAACGAATTGGTAACATATTTTAGGAGCAACAAATTTCGTCGAGAGTACTGATATAATCCTTGTTACCATTAATGCACTTAACAGTTTTCCTGTCTGGAAGCTAATTATTACCTTGTCCATTAGATAATTGAACATTGGATTGAAAATTCTCGTTCGTGTCAAAATTCAGCTCGTTTTAACTTTTCCGGAGATCTCCGAATCCATCGAATTAGTCTGTATATTCACATACATTAGTCTATAATTGTGGAAAATTACATAAAATTCATATAAATCTCATCTCACTCTTAATCCGAGCGAACCTCGTCGTTATCGCAGTTCCATGAATTTTGCAGGAGAAAAAGAGATATCAGTTTCCCGTTTTCAACAGAAATAAACCAGTGTTCCTATACCCGGCACACCTGTTCCAATTATTTTCGACCAAAAGTTAAATCGACAGATGATTTCGCGTAGAAGCTGCAGTACATTTAGTAGTGAATCGAACTGGACGGACGCAATACCCCATGAATCCATGGACGAAGATTATTGCGGATTTATATGTTTTCGCGTCGAAACTTATTCCCCCTTTCTCCATGCAGGTTCGTTCTCCTGTCCCGCCGGCACGAGACCGGGCCGGGACGATACGATTTCGCGCGATTGAATGTAACGCGAAATTCGGCGAACAAAGCGCATCGAAATCGTGACGCGAGTGAAAGATTCTCCCGATAATTCCGCGCCCGGATTTACCAAAGCGCAGGAACATAAATTCCATCTTTGTTCCAGCTTTCCGCTTTATCCAATAAATATCGAGTCCGTTTTTGTAGAATTATTCGAGCGCAACAGTAAAAGATTATGGGGATTTATCGTCGTTGATACGCCCCCCGCTACCAATTGCGCATCGATTTATCGTTCCGCGAAATTTGCCTCGCGCTCGATCCTCCTTTTTTCCATTCGCCCGCGTCTGACTGCTCCTCTGTCGCGTTCTTCCTGATAATGTTGTGTACTGGCGGACGAGTTATTCAATTTTCGACCAGACAGCATTCCGCTCGTTGCGTTACAATAATTATTTCCAAATCGCAATTAAATTTGACAAAGAGGAGATCATTTTTATCTGTGACACTCTATGCGCTTTGGCTCGATTCGAAATTTCCTATAACGCTCGCAATGTCTTTCACTCAGGAATCGTTTCCGGTAGAACAGCGATTGCGTGCTCATTGCTCGAAGCGATTCACGTGAACAGATCGAATCGGTTCGGTTCGGTTCGTTTTGCAGGTCTCGTGGATCAGGAAACGGGATTTGCACATTCTCACCGTGGGAATCTTAACGTACACGAACGACCAGCGTTTCCAGTCGGTGCACAGCGACGGAACTGACGAATGGGCCCTGAAGATTACTTCGCCGCAAGTCCGAGATAGCGGAACGTACGAGTGTCAGGTCTCAACTGAACCGAAAATCAGCCAGGCTTTTAACTTAAGCGTTGTGGGTCAGTATGTTTGCCGAATGAATCTTCTAATAATAAAGAAATTCTATGCAATTTTCCTGTAGGTCCAACGGTTTGGAAGTTATTGTCAAAAAACAAAAATTTGAAATCTGAAGGGGTACCCTTGAAATATCTCGGAAAAATTTCTTTTTCCTCAAAATTTCGAAAAATGCTTTAAATAGAAGTTGTTTTTCTTCTAATTTCGATATTTAATGAGTTACATATGATTATATGGCATTTTATTGATGTTGACAAAATCCGACCATCCCGGCGTCGAAATGGCAAACTTTTCACAAAAAATTTCGTTTTTCTTTAATTACTCCT